TTTAGGGTTTAGGGTTTAGCTGTTCCTGTTTTTGAGGAGTTTGAGGAGCCTGTACCAAGAGAAGCCACATGTGAGTAAGTGGGAATTAGAATTTAAAGTGTGCGTAGATCCCTTCATGACTTACGGGTGTAAGGGCAATCACCTTTTTTCGGTGATGTTGCTTGGTAGAAAACCTGTGCCGGTGCAACACGGCACCAAGTAACTGTTGCTGATGAAACTGGTATCGGAATTCAGCCTAGCGCTGGAAAATCTGCACCCAGCGCCGATCTTCGGAAGTATGAACGTGGATTTTGCGAGGATCTTACTCCCAATCTCGAAATAACCTGGAATTGATACACTGATACAACACGAACCCTACAGCCCCGATCGCGAAGCCCCTATGCTCCACCCATCGAAAAGACTGACACGAAAGGCTTGGATTGGACTTCATCTGGATGTGGCATCCGACGTTGCCTGCACCGGTCTCAGCCATTCATTGCGGCCACACCCATGGAACCCTGTAGGGGAGCCAATGTAGAGGCATAAAGGCCTGAACGATCGGTCGTAGCATCCCCTGTCAAGTCTCATCAAGTCCCTATGATCGACTTTTTCGTGCAAAGAATATCCCAACCCATCATTCGCAGGATCGTTCATGCCCAAATGGACGAGGGTTGTCGGGATTCGTTGGTTCAGGGCTTAAGATGAATTTAAGGTTTAAGTTTTGTAAAAACAAAAGGTTTCTGACTGGTCGTTGTTTGGCTTTGGCATCAGGAATCAAAGCCTTTGGTGGTCTACTTTGGGGGCATGAATAAGGGGGGGTTCCTGATTATAACTATGTTATAATGGGCCCCAAAACCATATTCTAGTTATTAAGACCCCTACAGAATAGGCTTTATTAGGGTTCTGCAGTTCAGATTCCGGGTTTCGGGTTGTGAAGATGCAGGTTTCAGGGTTTCAAGTCCCTTTGGGTCTAGATACTTTCTTGCCACATTGGGAGTTCCGTAAAGTAGGGGTACCTTATTTGGGGGTCCTTATAATAAGGATCCTACTATTTAGGCTACTATATTAGGGTCCCCTATTTTCGGAAACCCCCATACTTCAGCCCTGAGGCATCCGACGTTAAGTTCTGCAGTGGAGTCCAATTGTCACACCTGGTATCTGTTGGAGCACATGCGAATTTTGTAGGTAGGTTGTGGGGATTACAGGCAAACCCTTGGAGTTTTAACTAGGGTACAGCTATTGTTCCGACGGTCCGTCGTGGGTACACATACCGCGGTTTCATTACTGCTCAGACGGTTCGTGCATATCCAAGCGCTTACATCTGGAAGCAGAATATGCTTAGGGCTGAAAGATTAATACGGCCCATACGTAGTTCTAAGACGAGATAAAGGGCATGTAGCTTGAGCTGTGTTCGACAACAAACAGTAAAGGTACTTCTAACACTTCAAACCCAACCGATCAACCTGCAAGTGTCCCTACACCCTCAGCTCTCTTCCCTAAATGCTGAGCCAGAAGCTCTGTACCCCTAACAGTTAGCGCCACTCTCTGCTTCTGATCCACTGACGGCTTCAGCCCACGACCCGAGACTGCAAGACAAGCGGTCTAATCTACCTCCTTTCTGTTGGGGCCTCTAACCTTAAGGATGATGTCGGTAATGATGGAATGGAATTATAGGATCCGTCGACTATAACTCTCAAACTTAGCATTCCCTGTGGTATTCCTTTTATACAGGGCAGGCGGCTAGGTCAGCAAAATATTGAAATTGAGTCAAAACTGAGCCCAAAGCCAGAGAAGGCACCTCACTGCTGCTGGCCTCCGCTCCGGCACGGCGGTTGCAGGGTCTCGGTGGTCTTGCGCCAGGCGGCATGCACCGCGTCTCTTGCAGACGTTTCGGCAAATACTCGCGTCGGAGGAGTATGTAGTGATAATATCCTTTGGTAGTCCCGGTTCAGATGATAACATACCCAAACCCTGCAGTCTTATGGTTCAGGCTCCGTTAGTCATTACATAGATGTGGGATGATCTCGCCTTGTTCGCACCTGGCCGGCTTGGTAACCCGGAGGATGTCAATTCCTGGGTCGCGTGCGCACTGCGGGTCGGGGTTCTGGGTAGTTTTTGTTTTGTTTTTGTTTCTCCCTCTCTCTCTGTCTCTGTCTACTGTACAATACCCCAAATTCTTTAGGCTATCTGTAAATCTCCTAGGATGTTGACTGCCTTGTTCGCCATGGACTCTCGCACGACGGGCCAATGTCGGCAAGCCGGATGTCCCTATCCCCATCAGTGTACCCTCATCCTAAGCTTCTAACCACTCAAACAAAAGCTGGTCACTAAGCCTAGCCCCGAACACCGGACCTTGAACCATCAATCTCGAACTCAGTGTCAAGCCCCACGATTGAAGTCGACAAGACCTGAAATGCCATGTCTCAAGCCCTTGAGACCCTAAACGGCGCAAGCAAGCCCCACACTCACATCTGCAGTTCTCCAAGATCGGATCCCCTTTAAAGGGAACCCCAAAAGCAGGCGACACCCCAACAAAAAGCAACTTCAAAGTGACCTGAATTCAGAGAGCTGCCCACATCCTCGAAGATCCTTTGGCAAGCCCACTTCCTTCCTGCATCTCAACGCGAAGCTTTCAAAGCCTTACGGTTGTTGGTGTTGAGGTCGCTTGGAAACATCAGCATGAACCTGATACGTTTAATGTATATACGGGCCCGCGCCAATAACTGATCAAGATTAATCTGGGGCCTGAATATTTGCCTACGTTGTTCCTTTGGGTTCCTAAGTATAAGTATACTATAAAGGAGCCCAAAGCCCTATTCTAAGTATTAAGGCCCCTACAGTATTTCCTTATAAATAGGCCCCATATGACTTGATTATATATGCCACAAAACCGCTTTCTGGTCGACCCTTGTACGGCCAGGAATACCAGCTTTGGGTGACCCAATAGAGCTGGACTTGGATTCTTGGCTGTTCGAAGCACCATGGTTTCGGACTTGGATAACTTGGGTTTCGGGTGTTGGATTTGTGGTACAAAGTGCTGGACGTAGTGTTGTCAGGTTCTGTTTACTTTTGAGGGTTTTCGGCTCCTACATAGCGCACAACTGATGCCGAACTTTCCGTTTGCACGCTCAGTAAACCTCTATGTGAGCGGTATAGCACGGTGTAACAAGCCCAATATTGGACAGCCAAAAGCGAGAGGGAGACCCTGAGCGGGAAAACTCGAAAGACCCTAAACCCTGCAATGCGGGCTCGTCCTTGCTAGGTAGGAAGCAAAGAAAGACCCTACTTGTAAACCCTGATCACTTGAGGATCCTCTTCCTCAACCTTTAGATTGGTACTCTTGAAAGTCAATGGAGAAAGCAAGTATATGACGGGACCAGACCAGATTAGTAGAGATACTTGAAGCTTCGGAGGAAGAGTTTAAAGGAGGTCGTCATGTCGGAAGTTCATTCTGATGCCTCAGCTTCTTTAGATTCGATGGTCGTGTTTTAGTGACGGTTCCGTGCTAGCTGCTGTTGATCAACTTTTTGTCGGTTTAGGGTTTAGGGTTTCGGGTTTAGGGTTTGGGGTTCACGTCCGGGCGGGATTAACGCAAGCCTGTGCAAAAGGGTTTGGGGTTTAGGGTTCGATTCCATTAGATCCCATAGGGCCTTCATCGAAGAGTCAG